TTCGTCCTTTGGCAGGATTCGAACCTGCATCCTATACGGAACCGTCATTTACGCTGACGTGCCTTGACCGCTCGGCCACAAAGGATCGTTCGGTTGGCAGCGTAAATGACGGTTCCGTATAGGACGCAGGTTCGAATCCTGTCAAAGGACGAATATTTTCTATGAAAATTTCTCGGACATTCAGGCCGGTAAATGTTATTTAATACTGTTTATTATAAACAGAGCATTTACTTAAATGCTTGTATCTATAAAAAGAACGTTAAACATAAAATGTCTTTAATATATATATATATATATATATATATATATATATATATATATATATATATATATATATATGTATTGAAAGGATAATATGATTTCCGTCAAATGCCGAAACTATAGTAGTTGATGTCATGAATAATCCAAAAGTGGTATCCCCTTGTTTTGTTACTACCCTCTTTGAGAGATATATTTTTGTTTACTGGGACTATAAAAGGACTCTATACGCGAAGCTTGTATTCTCTGTTGATTAAAGCTTTCTTTAAGCCTACACCTGTGTACTTTTGTCATTACAGTTGATATGATTCAACTGTCTCAAAGCTGGTAATAAAAAGTGCTAGTTATGAATTAGACCGTAAAAATGTAAGGGGAATAAATAAGAAGAAATAAATTAAAAGCTACTAGAGTTTCAAACTACAGTTGTAGGATCATCAGGCCAGGTTCAGTCTTTGTCTTACTTAGCACGTGATATATGCGTTAATTAGGGAGATCTAGATTTTTAATTTTTTTTTGTTTTTAATACGGAAGTGAATATCATTCAGGTTCTATAGTAGATATTAAATAGGCTTTTCCTTTAATGTAGACATTTTGTCATACTTTCTGCACTTATAAAGAACTTGGATATTGAAACATCAATATCGCCAGATTCTTCTCCTGGCATAATTTACCATTTTTCTCACACCTCTTACAATTTTTACTCTTCTTGTATCGTATTTTTAATTTTGAGTTCTTTTCATTTGTTTACCTAATGTATTTGGACCATATCTTTTCAAATAGAGCGAAATATTCGACAACTTATAATCTTTTTTTTTTCAAAATGTTCCTTTCTATTTTGTTTCGAAAAAAAAATCTCTTTTTCAATTTATCAAATATTTCTGCCATTATTCGTATTAGATTTTCGGTCGCCATTTTGAAATAAAAAAAAATTCAACACGAAAAATTCCTTCTTAAAATTTCATTTCATTCAAAAATTAAAACTGTTTTTTTTTTACTATTTAGATATTTATTGAAATTAGTAATTCCGGTGAATAAATTTAATTTTGTCCCGTACTGCTAAATCGCCGAACGTTGTTTTCGTCATGGCCGTCAACGCTAACCGGTTAGATACATGACAAATCGTAATTGGTATCATTCAATGGAGACATCGGTGAGTTTAATCAAGCCCGATCACATTTGCACTTGTCAACTGTATCGTTCACCTCGTTTAATCATCGACAAATGTACCGACCGAATGCACAAAAGGTGTTTACAATGTTATTTGCGTCCCAAATGTAGCTTGAAGCCACTATCAATACAGATTACAGCCATAGCGGTATTGATATTCGCAATGATGGTCCTTCAACCGGAAGTGATCCTGCGAACGCGAACTAAACCGGAGTGCGAGAGAAAGAGAGTCGATATCTAGCGGGCCACTTAGCAACACATTTGCCTTATCTACGTACCTATGTGCTGATACGAGACGGGCGTCAAATGCAAAAAT